TGTTATCGTTCATATCACTACGAAGTTAATTAAACATTATTTCATATCAAACCTATACAAATTAACACAGATATCTCTATTTCAGAGTGCTCTCTCTCTCTCTCTCTCTCTCTCTCTCTCCATTCCACACGCAAGGAAGTGCACACACCCACATAGACTCACTAGGTAGTTAGAGAAGTCAGACTGGTAAGCTGATAGCCCAATGAACCAGACTGTCCAAGACCTGATAATTTGCTGCTCAGAAAATGCATACTCAGCTTATCACCCAAATGGAGAAAGAGTAGAAAATCTTGTAAAACAATGGAGAGAAATTTATGTGACAAGAAACATTGGAGAGATATCTTAATAGTTTTGTAACTGAAGAACCAAAGCATGTGACCTCTCAAATTCTGCCCACAAGGATTGCCTCCATTAGAAGTCCAACCAGAGAACTGACCACGAGCTTTTCTTTTGTTTTGATGAACTGACTGTATATTGATATAAAATGGAGTACAATGGTATGCAACCACAAGAGTGATTAAGCTTTACAAAAACTCTTTAGGGCCCAAAAATGCTATGCAGCAAAAGGGAAAGAAGTGAAAGGAATTAAGGGAAGTGTGCAATAGCAATAAACAAGGTAGATAAAGCTCTCTTTGGCCAAACCTCCAGCCATTGAGTCTCCCTAAAAGTGTCATGCTCAGCGACTTTGATTATGCAGTGCATGGCTGAAAGTAGCTTTGCAACCTTTGTTTGCCAAGTTCGGACTTGGCAATCCTGTGGATCGCCACAAGCAACTTTGGAAAACATTCTGAAATTTCATCATGGAGAGCAGCCAAATCACCAATATGCAACTGCAACATTCATTTGGAACATCATCATCATCCAAGACTTATCCCCAATTATTTGGGGTTAGCTATTCATTTGAAACATAAGATATGACATGGAACTGTTTTTCATAGAAATGAAGCAAATGAATTATACCTTGCAGAAACCATTATTTTCATTGAAGTAGCACACTATATTCTGAATGAATTGCAAAAAATCAAATAAACTCCTACGATTGAATGTTTTTTTCAAGGAAACCTGTTGATAATCATAGATTGCCAATAGTCCTCCATTAAGACATGGAGGCCAGACACCATTTTTTATCACAATAGGACACAAGCTATTCAAACTTGAAATAATATGATTCTCCAATGTCAAATCCATTCCTTCGATTGTGAGATAGACATCTACAAGGAAATACCCACATTTCTCCTTGACCCAAAAGAATGGATGAACTAATATATCCGAGAGGCATGACCTGAAAAACAAACATGCAAAAACACATTTTAAATCCATCTTTTATTTATCAAAAGCTAAATAGAAATAGAACTTACCATAACAACTCCACTGCATAAAAAAAGAAACATTATACTTGCCTATTGTTGATCTTAAGGTTATTCATGATATCTAGAAGATCTCTAATAGGCAAAAAACCCTTTGGATCATCATTTACTAGCTTCTCATCAAGTATTTCTAAAGCATAAGAAAATACTTGGCGGAAATAATCAATTTCATCCTTCTTTACGTCATGGTCTGGAAAACAAAGGAGAAAAATAAAATTACACCCTAGCCATAGTTTTCATAAAAATTGAAATTTTTTAAAATTATAAAGAAAGTATGTCCAAATATGTATTATACCTGTAATATTTTGAACCAGTGGTATTATCTTTGCCACGACTCCTTTTGATATCGTTTTCACAACTGTGTTTTGTGCTCAAGGAAGTAAGTGAAATATTCCATTTTTGAAATTCTCTTGCCCCAAGCACTATATTCCTGTGTCCATAATCCTTCTTATTCAAATCCAAAAAAAATAGTCGCACAAATAAAAATTTAATTACAAAAAATTACAATAAAAGAAAACAAGGCACGATTTCTAATGAGATCTAACCTCATTAAACCAATTAGTATTCGAGTTCAATATCCGTTTGGTGTAAAAAAACAAAAACGTTGTAATTCTTGGATTTTCTGACATCCCTCCATCTCCATTGAACTTGGACAATGGAAACCATTGAGAGTCCATGAGAGGAAATGAATTCCTCGATCTCATAAGTACTACATCCCTTTTTCCAAAGTTTCCCTGTGCAAGTAATGTCATCATCCCCTTCTCCATCTACTATGCTTTTAGAATAAAATATTATTTTGTGCTCTACACCTACATTAATGTGTTCTATGATCTCATCACAAACCTGCAAAAAAAGAAAAATAAAAATAAAAAATTAAGACCATAGAAATCACCACCAAGAGAAGGAAAGCAGAGCCATCAAAAAATTAATCGATAAAATATGAAAATAAAAAGCATAAAATCACATAATTAAAAGGTTGCAATTATCAAAATGAAAAGAAAAGTAGTAAAAAATTTATGACATGCAAGTAGTCTAAAATATAAGAAACCATTTGGGACAAATAAGGAAAGGCCCGTCAAAATCCAAAAGAAAATGATCAGCTACAAAAGTGAATGAAACCATTTTGAACAAATAAGGAAAGCCCAATCAAATTCCAAAAGAAAATGATCAAATGCAAAAGTCAAGTTGCCTACAACCGCAGTTTGCAAATGATTTTTTGCCACGATTAGCTATACTTTTCGAAGTCCATACCAAGTCAAGCAGTGATGCTCAAAGTCAAGGACATCGAAAAGACACAAGAGAGAGAGAAACAGAGAGAATGAGAGAGAGTATTCATAATTCAAAGAGCGACAAAGAAGACAAAATAATCAAAGAATTACCCCATAGAGAGATGGAAAATGTGCTTACACTTAAGCCCTTGAGAGCACATTCTTTGTTCTTACTATCTGTATCCTTTTGCGTCTTAGGCTTACGCTTCGTACCTTTCCCCATGGTGAATTTCTGAGAATTTGTGCAACCAAAAGATTTTAACAGAGTGAGAAGGTGAGGCCTCAGGCAGTATCTTCGATAAAGGGGTTTAGAGAGAGAGAGAGCTTACAATTTTTACAGAGAGGGAGGGCTTAGGTAAAATGGGGTAGATACAGAGAGAGAGAGAGAGGGGGCCGGAGGCCGGGGCTTAGGTAAAGGGTGGTAGATACTATTAGGATCGATTTAGAATGGCTATTAAGATGGATTTATGCAAAATTAGGTCAAAATCCCTCTTTGAACCTCACTTGAAAATATTATCAAACACATACGAAGCATAGCAATAATCTACAACTAAGAACTCCTTAAATCATCAAATCAAATCCCCAAATTGTTATCTTCTAAATCATGCTCTATTATGACTATGAATCATAGCAAATGAGCAAAAATGGAGTATGAAACAAACTCACCAATTGCTCCAACTAAAGCATGTAGAGAATAAGCAAATCTTTAGCTCAAAAATATCAAAAGCACCCCAAAAATGTTGCTGGAAATTCTAGAACATCGAGACATTAGTAGCAATATATAGAAAGAGAAAGTTAAGGGTAATGGGTAATGAAATAGACTCAGCAGTAGCTTGTCTCAAGGTGACCTTTCAAGGCTCTTGGGTGCTCCCTTGAGACCAAGATACCTCTAAAATTTGTGGAGAGAGAAAAAGAGGAATTTTGGGTAGTGAGAGAGAGACTAGAACACCATAGCTTTTTCTCCCAACCCATCTACTTATTTGGCCCCAACATTCCAACGGTGTGTTTTTGGGGAATGAGGTTTACTTTTTCTTTTTAAACACTTGGCATAAGGGATGCATGCAAACTATATTATAGTATATAACAATAAAGCTAGGGTATTTTGGTCATAAGAATAGTATTTTGAGAAAATAAAAAAAAAAAATGTAAAAAACAAAACTCATGTCAACATTCCCCCACTATTTTCGACATTTTTTTTTAATTACAAATATCATCCACCCATTAGAATGATATGCTCTATCATGATCTCAAGTAATCCATAGTCCATCCACATACATTCCATGCACTCAATGGCATCGACCACACACTTTCCCACACTTATTACACGTCGTGACGTATTGTGTGATCATTAGCCATCTTATGCACTTCATGCATTGGCTTCTTAATCAACATACTCTCTCAATAGGTGCCTAACAACACAATGTCTCAAACACTGGCACTGTTGATGCCACACATAAGCCCCCCATTATCAAAATTTGATAGTTTATCGGTGTAGTGAGTTGTCATACAAAGCCACAAATAGATGCATCTAAGAGATCCTCAACTTCCGAGATATACATACTAGTAAATCACAAGGACGAACCACAAAGGTCCAATCACCTGTAAATATTCAGAACATTAGCCATATAGGCTAGTGGATCACAAAGAAACCATCATATTTACTAACATACCATTGCATCACTAAAATTCTCATGCAACAAATGGGAGTGGATCACAAAGAAACCACTATATCACGAAGATAGCATTGCATCACTCAGATGCTCATGCCACATAGGTATCATTGAGATAGAATTCAGAATGCTACAAAGGCAAGAAATCACATGATCGTTATAATGGTTAATGCAGCCACAAAGGTTATCTATGACACTATATAACAACCATTAGGACTCCAATACTTTGCCCAAATATCAATATGCCACGAAAGCTAATATTATTGTGATTCATCCATGCGTCTGAGTCCCATGGCAAGTACGCTTCTTACAAAAGGGATGACATGAGTACCCTTTGTTAGTGGACCAGCAATCATCAATTGAGTAGGAAGATAACTAACTTCTACTATTTTCTACATATTCCCTTACGGAGTGCGACCTTTTCTTAATATGTTTTGACTTGACATGATATAGTGGATGTTTAGAAATGGCTATTGCTACTTGATTATCATCATAAATTTCTGTGGGTGCATGATCAAACTGGAGTAAAGGCATTTCATTAAGAAAGTGCCTTAAGAATATCTCTTCTCTTGAAGCATGATATAAAATAATATATTCTTCTTCTATAGTGGAACGTGAGAACCACTTTTGCTTTTTATTTCCCCAAGATATACATGCCCTACAAAATGTAAACACCCATCTTGATGTGAATCTATAATTGTCAATGTCTCATCTTAAATTTGCATCACAATAACCTTCTAGGATTAGATCTCAAGTCTCATAACATAGACCATAATTATGTATCCCCTTTAGATAAATAACTTTCCGCTTTACCAATTTCCAATGTTCAATTTTAGGGCTTGCTATATATCGACTAGCAACCCTCATTGCATAAGCAATATCGAGTCTAACAGCTTGTACATAAGAGTATTTCTTTATAATTTCATTTTCTTTGTCACTTTTAGGACATATTTCCTTAGATACCTTATAACTTTTGTCAATTGGGGTGGCCATAGGTTTAGAGTCCATAAAGTGATTTAATTAACTTGCATACATTATCTTCTTGACCTTGATTTTCTCATGTAGATTTTCTCATCTAGATTTTCTCATCTAGTTCAGCATTTTAAAACGTGGACTTTACATCCATTTGATGAACCGCAAAATCATTAATGGTTAGTAATGTTAATATTATTCTTACTGAAGATTTTCTTGCTACAGGTAAAAGGTTTCTTGGAAATCAATTACTTCCTTTTGGCTAAACCCCGTAGCCACTAACCTAGCTTTATATCTTTCAATATTACCATTAAAGTTCAATTTCTTAAAGTACACCCATTTACAAACAATTGCCTTTCTATCTGAAGGAAAATCTACTATGATCGTGTTTTATTGCTCATAAGGGAGTCATATTCATCCTACATAGCTTGTAACCAACTATTTGTTGCATCAGAGCTGATTGCATCTTTAAAATTATGGGGTACTTCATTCAATTTATTACAATAAACATAACCATCTAAATAACTAGGTTTTTTAATTTTCCTAGTACTCCTTCTAGGCTCATACAACTTAGGGGTCAGATCAACTTTAGAAGAGCTTCTTACATTAGTAGTCCTAGGGTCTAGTGATTCCTCTTGGTCACTTTCTTCTAAAAGTCTAGCTTGCCTATAAATCAGTATTTGAAAGTCTTCAAAGAAGTGGCATTCTTTACTCTCTATGATTTCTTTAGTTTCATCATTGGAACATCTATATCCCTTCGAATCAGCGGAATACCCAACAAATATACACTTGACACTTTTAGGTCCTAGTTTCTCTCTCTTTTCATGAGGAATATGAACATGTGCTAAAGAGCCATATACTCTAATATGATCCAAACTAAGTTTTCTTCCAAACCACAACTCAAAAAGTGTTACATTAGTCGATTTAAAAGGGACTCTATTTAATTTATATGTTGCTGCCATAATTGCTTCACCCCAAAAATAATATCCTATAATTGACCATATCAATTAAGGTTCGATTCTTTCTCTCGTCCATACCATTTTATTAAGTATATGGTAAGGAAGTTTGCCGAATAATTTCATTCTCGCTACAAAATTGATTAAAGTCCTATGATATATATTCTCATCCTCTATCAACTCTAAGAATTTTAATTTTCTTATTTAATTGGTTTTCAACTTCTTATTTATATTTATTGAATTTGTCTAATGCTTCATTTTTATGGGTCATTAAATGAGTGTAAGAATATCTACAATAATCATCTATAAAAGTGATAAACTATTCACACCTACCAAAGACTTTTGGGTTTTAATTTAGTACAAATATCAATATGGATAATTTAAAGTAAGTTTTTAACCCTTTTACCCTTCGAAAATGATATCCTATGTATTTTTCCCTTTAAGCATCTTTCACATTTGAATTTTTCTTTTTCTAAATAAAGGACTATATTTTCTTTCATTAATCTATTTAATCTTTCATAACCAATGTGACCAAGCCTTCTATGCCAAATATTGAAACACTCATTATAAGCAAATGGCCCCTTCATTTTATTATCAAGATCAAGCTTGTACATATTGCCAACAATAGTGGCTTTTACAACAAAAACATCTTTTTTCTTTATAATTGTTTTCCCATCTTTTATATAGACATCATCTCCACTACTATCAATCCTAAAGAGAGAAAGTAAGTTGATCCTTATATATGAGGCATATGATACATCAGTAAGAGTCAAAGTGCCACTGGTTGGAAGTGGAAGTCCAAATGTGCCCTCTCCAAGAATGTTGATGCTAGACGAGTTGCCCATATAAAGTTTTCCAACACTGTCACTCCTTTCCTTGAAATCTACCATATTATTAATGTGCCGAGTAGGTCCCGAGTCCATCCACCACTCATCGGGGGAACTCACCATCAAGAATACTTCAACCACTAAGGTAAAATCCTTAGTGCCACTTGCTTGTCCAGCATCCTTCTCCTTGGGTTTCCTGCAATACTTGACAATATGACCATATTTATTAGAATTATAACATTTATTAAATTTCAAAGAAGATTGTCCATGAGGAGGCTTCCTAAAGTTCTTTTTAGATTTTGCCTTCTCATTCTTCTTGGCCATTGTTAGATAGACTTGGTTTCTCTCCCTTTCATTATTCTTCCTAACACCATCATTTTCTTCCATCCTTAGTTGTCCTCTTAGATCATCTAAAGTATAGACAGTCACATTATGGTACAAATTTTTCTTTACATACTTCCATGAATAGGGAGATTTTCTATAATCTTCATAATTTGTTGATATTCACCTATGGATTCACCAAAATCAGCAAGTTGGTTAGCCATGATGCACATATCATTAGAATATTCAAGTACCGATTGATTTTTCTTCATCTTATACATATTGCATCTTTCATACAATTCATACGTAGCCACATAGTTATCATTAGTGTGTCTTGTATCAATAGCAACCCACAAATCTTTAGCATTATCATAGCATTCAAACACTTTATGTAGTCCATCATTTAGGCAATTTAGGATGGCATCTCTACATTTGAAATCATCATTTTTCCACTTAATAAACCTTTGCCTATCTCTAAGAGTTCTATCATCATCTGGTCAGTTGGTCTTTCATCATTAATCACATAGAGCAATTCCATATTATGGGGCACGAAAAACAGTTTACTTTTCCAAATTGAAAAGTTGAAGCCATATAATTTTTTCTATCTTCACCAAATCGGAAAGAATGGTCTTTGTAGTAGCCATTGAAAGTAACCAAAGCTCTACTATCAAATGTTATGATCGATTTAGAATGGCTACTAATATGGATTAATGGAAAATTATGTCAAAATTTCTCTTTGAACCTCACTTGAAAATATTTTTAAACACATAAGAAGCATAAGCAATAATCTATAATTAAGAACTCCTTAAATCATCAAATCAAATCCCCAAACTGTTATCATCTAAATCATGTTCTATTCTAGCCATGAATCACACCAAATGAGCAAATGTAAAGTATAGAACAAATTCACCAATTGCTCCAACTAAGGCAGGTAGAGAATAAGCAAAACTACAACTCAAAAATATCAAAAGCACCCCAAAAATGTTGCTGGAAATTCTGGAACATCAAGACATTAGTAACAATATATAGAAAGAGAAAGAGAGAGAGGAGGGCAAGAGGTCGAGACTTTTTAAAAAGCTGAAATTAGGGGAAAAAACAGATTGTGGGCCTACTTGGAGCAAAACCCTGCCAGAGACCTGGTATCCAGAGTTGGCTGGCCGAACCAAAGATGTCAACACAAGGGGACCGTTTCAATAGTCTTTTGACGTCTTGAGCTAGAGATGCTCAATTCAGTTTTATTTGCTTATGTTAGAGAGGGTCTTCAAGGCAATGTGGACTACGGTGGACCAAGATGCATGGGGCGGTCCTGAGGTTGCCGTAGGTGTTATCGGATTCTCACCCCTTCAAAACTAAAAGAGAAAAAGGATTTTTATGGATCATCCCATTCTCATGTTATGGGTCAAAGAAGTGGCTCTTTGGTTTGCTTTGAGTGGTAAATGACTTATGACCCATTTAACTTATCTTCATAAAATGTTTTATTGGAAGAGAGGGAGTAAGGGGATTGAAACTTGAACGACTGAGTGAGAGACAGTAAGGGAGTTGAAACTTGAACGGTTGAGAGAGAGAGAGAGAGAGAGAGAGAGAGAGAGAGAGGGAGGGAGAGAGAGAGAGAGAGAGGAGGAGGAGGAGGTAGGAGGTAGGAGGTAGGTAGGTAGGTAGGTA